GGAGGAAGGACCTGCTGGAGGAAGGACCTGCTGGAGGAAGGACCTGCGGTGACGCTCCTTTGTGCATTTAGGAGCAGGAACCTGTCACTGAACGAGCTCTCCAGTTCAGCAGCAGCTTCATGGGGTGGAGACGTTGTCCAGCAATGATGTTATTTTAGTTGGAGTCCTTCTGTCTCCCACCACCTGACCTGGGTCGAGGGGCGTCCAAGCACAGAGCTGGTCTTCTTGATGATCTTATCTAGCTGCTTCTTCTCAGCTGATGATAAGCTGCTGCTCCAACACACAACACCATAGAAGATGGCTGATGCCTCTACCGAGTCAAAGAAGGTCTTCAGGACCTGCACTCCAAAACACCTCAGTCTCCTCAGCAGGTAGAGTCTGCTCTGACCCTTCCTGTAAAGTGCATCAGTGTTGTGAGACCAGTCCAATTTATTGTTCAGGTGAACACCCAGGTACTTGTAAGAGTCCATGATCTCAATGTTCACACCCTGGATGTTCACCGGGGTCAGTGAGGTGGACCTGTGCCTGCGGAAATCCACCACCAGCTCCTTAGTTTTAGCAGCGTTGATCAGGAGCTGGTTCTGCTGGCACCAGTCCACCAAGTCTTGAGTCCACTGTCTGTACTCGGAGTGGTCCTCACCTGTGATGAGGCCGACTGTGGCGGAGTCAGAGAACTGTTGCAGATGACAGTGAGGGAGTTGATGGTGAAGTCTGCAGTGTAGAGGGTGAAGAGGAATGGTGCCAGCACAGTTCCCTGTGGGACCCCCGTACTGCAGACCAGCATGTCAGAGACACAGCCCTGTGTCCTCACATATTGTGGGAGTCCAGTGAGGTAATCCAGTATCCACTGGGACATGTGGTGATCCACTCCTGATAACTCCAGTTTGTCCCACAAAAGTCCAGGCTGGATGGAGTTGAAAGCACTGGAGAAATCAAAGAACATGATCCTCACGGTGCTTCCAGGTTTCTCCAGGTGGGTCAGAGCTTGGTGCCTGAGGTAGATGATGGCGTCATCCACCCCGATGCCAGGCCGGTAGGCAAACTGCAATGGATCCAACGAAGACCTCACCATGTGGTGCAAATGGTTGAGGACCAGCCTCTCGAGTGTCTTAAAACAGATGAAGTTTCAGACAGACAGAGTTTCAGCTGAAGTATCAGACAGTTTAAGTTTCAAACAGCTGCAGTTTTAGACAGCTGACATTTCAAACAGCTGGAATTTAAAACAGCTGAGGTTTCAGTGGACACTCTGTGAATCACATTAAAGAACTTTTAGTTGTTTTTTTTTATTTGTACAGCTGAAGAGCGGCTGGGTTGGAAAACAAATGTACAGATGAAATATCTGAACAGCTACCTGAAGGACTCAAACCCGCCACACGTTTCTGTCTGCAGCCGAACCCGCCACACGTTTCT